TTAGAAAAATTAGTTGCAAGTATAACCTCTCAAAGTTTTGCATTTCCTTTAAAAGTAGAGATGTGGGATTAAACACTCCAAAATTGTAAAGGTTTAAATTAGAAAAATTAAGATTTGCACCAATAAAATATCAATTAATTTTTTGATTGGAAATACCAATTAAAACAATTTTGTGTCAGTAAAACAATCAATTACTTGGATGCAATCACTTCAAAAATTCCTTTAAATCCAATTCGTATCCTTTAAATACTGACAACATATACCTTTTTATGACGTTGATGGACGGGTCGTTGTAGGGTAGGCCAACTAAATTCAAAATTGAGTGTTTAGATCTAGAATTTTTTTCCACTCTGCCATATTTTTAGGGGTTATTCACTATAATGCTATCATTTTCACAATATATTCCAAAATATCATGATTCCAAACAAAATATATTTTTTGGCTAAAGACTGTCGCCCTTGCAATGGGCGGCTATGTTGAATATGAATGAGAACCGCCCTTTCAATGGGCGGTAGAGTGCATTTGTTTTCTATTTTTTTTCCTCGTTTTAATTAATGTATTTAGTTTTAATTAATTTAATTTAATTTAATTAATAATCATAATTGATTTAGAATTAATGTATTTAGTTTTAATTAATTTATTTTAATTAGTAATAATAATAATTGATTTAGAATTAATGTATTTAGTTTTAATTAATTTAATTAAATTAATAATAATAATAATAATTGATTTAGAAATAATAGTTATAAAAATGATAATAATAATAAAGTTTAAAATATTTCTTGAAAATAAAATAAATTAGTTTAAAATAGTTTAATTAAAATAAAGTAGTACACTAAAATATATAATAATATTTATAAAATAAATAACAATAAAAGAACTAAAATAAATATTTATTAATTTTTGAAATTAAATATGTACATTAAAATTCTTATTGACCCTTAATTAATTTCGACCCGGTCGACGTAAGCGTTGGTGGGTTCCACATGCAGGAGCTTGTACATTTTTGGTGGGCCTTCTACGATCAACCTCAACGTTTTGGCGTTGTGTAGATGGTCCTGCATCATTGTTAGAGTTCATGAATTCAGCGACCAAATCATCATTGAAATCGTCGTCAGTTGGTATCGCCGCCGCACTTCCATAACTTAATCTTGTACCCTCGTTACTCCAACTTGGTGGGTTTAGAGGTGGCGGTGCGTTAGTCATGTAGGGGGTGTATGGATGTTGGTCTTGAGAAAGGGTGAAGTTTTGTGAAGGGTAAAAAGGAACTTGTGGTTGGGGTGTTTGGTAGTTGTGTTCTTGTTGGGTAGGTTGAGAGAATGAGAATTGATTATATTGGGGGTATGATGAGGTTGGGTTTTGTTGTTGGATGTTGAAGGGGTTTGGGTTAAATGATGTGTAAGGTTGATTGTAGTGTTGGCTTGGGGTATAAGGTGGTTGTGTTGGGTTGGGGTTGAATGGGGTGTTAAATATTTGTTGTGGGGTGTTAAATAATTGTTGTGGGGTGTTAAATATTGGTTGTGGGGTGTTAGATATTGGTGGTTGGGTGTTACAAGTCATGGAAGGGATGTTTTGGAAGTTTGATGGAGTTGGTTGGTTTTGGAAGTTTGATGAAGTTGGTTGGTTTCAAGGGTCCCACAAGTATCTATTTTGTGATAGATACAAATTGGTCACAAATTTATACCAACGCATGTATTCACTACTGGGTTTACATTCGGTATCCATGACAATTCCTCGTAGAACAGTGCTGATGTTCTTGTATGTTATGGTCTCTCCAATTATCGAATTTCCATTGGTCATTAGCCGTACTCTTGTGGTACATCTCCATGCATGTAGGTGGACCAAGAATGTCTTGTTTAATTCCGAATTGGAGTTTTACCCTATCTGAATGATGCATTTCAACATAAGTGAAAGAAAATATGAACGTTGTAGAACTCCACATATCGCTCTCAGTTGGGTCCTCATCTTCAAGTTCAAGATAAGGTCTCCATATAAACTATAACATAATTAAAAAAAGATTAGAAAAAAAATGGAAAGTGCTACTAAAAAAATAAGGGATTAGAGACAATACATCGTCTTCCTCAAAATGATCCAAGAACGTCCGATACCCAGGAGCACAATGATGCGGAGTTTTTTCGTAATTCATCCCATACGCAGACCACCTATGAAAGAAATAATTAGTAAAAATTATAGATGAAAAGAATATATATATATATAATTTTTTGTATACTTACTTGGTTGGGTATGGAAAGTGATATGGATTGGGGTTAATCGGCGACAGTCTGGGCATTCTGGACCATCCCCAAGCTTGAATCAAAACACCACAACCAACAAAATTATGCACATTTTTCATTGCGCATCTACACAAATTTCTGTATAGATGCGCTAAGGTAGCAGAGCTCCAACTATATCTACTTACTTCATTTAAATCTTCTAGTAATGGTAAATATTGAAGATGAATAGTATTACCATTAGTATCAGGAAATAAAAAACATGCAAAAAGCAGTAGTAAATACATTCTAGTCTTATAAAGTTTGTGTTCCTCAGGAGACTCATTGGTTAGGTTCAAAGCACTATAATTTCTTTTTAGCCATGTGATTTTAATGCTTTTCCCCTTCCTATCACCTTGTTCCAAAGGCACCCCTAATAGTTCTTCTACTAATGCATAGTTAACGTTTGTGTCACCCACAACCGCTGACCCATCGACACGGAGACCCAACAACATATGGACATCCTCAAGTGTCACTGTGCATTCCCCCGTGGGGAGGTGAAAAGTGTGGGTTTCTGGTCGCCATCTTTCGCACAACGCGAGAAGAAATTTGCGATCAATTCCATATGATGTTATATTAATGACGTGACCGAAACCCGCGCGAATCAAATATGGTTTGATAACCTCATCAGGCGCTATGTACTTATGCGAGCGTGGTTTGAAATTTTTTTCATCCTACAAAAAAAATTATTTGAATGTAACTAACATCATAGACAAAAATAGGAGATAGAGTGAATTGTGTAAATACATATAAATTAACTTACGTAGGAGACAAAAAAATATTTGAACTTTACTAAAGTGAATTGTGTAAATACATATAAATTAACTTACATAGGATGCAATATTTTCAAGCGTACCGCGATGGTCATCTCCTAAAGTGAGTAGAACCATTTTCAAGAGTGAGAGTTATAGTGTAAGATAGGAGATAAAGATAAGGATGGGTAGAATTATAGGAGATAAAGTTAAGGATTGGTAGTAAAAATTTTCAAATTGGTAGTAGAAATTTATAGGATTGGTAGTAAACTAAATGAGATGAGATAAGGATGGTAGAAAAATTAAATGGTCTGAGATAAGGATGGTAGAAAAATAAATGAGATGCTGTTAAAAAAATTAGGGTTTCAATGTTGGTACGCGTCTGCATGCATGGGTGCAGAACTGTGAAGGCTGAAGACAACCGCCCTTTCAATGGGCGGAAACCTTGGTTTCGTGTAAAAACCTCACACTCAATGGGCGGAAATGATGCATTTTTTCTGACATGCCGTATCCACAATGGGCGGCAACCTTGCTTTTTTTACTGACATGCCGTATCCACAATGGGCGACAACCTTTACTGTTTTCTGCACTTTGCATACTCATGTGCTTAGACTGGGTGGCAACCTCTAGCATGGTCTGAACTTTTCAGATAGGCTGCATCCTGAATGGGCGGCAGAGTTGATTCTTCTGCATTTTTCCTGACAACCGCACCATCAATGGGCGGCAGACTTGATTCTTCTTTGACCAACTTTCTTCGTTGCATGCATGGATGAATTAAGTTCTACTAATTTCTACTACTACTAATTTAAATTACTCATTTTCTGTTAAAATTTTCAACTATCTTCTATATTTATTCCACTCAATTTCTACTACTACTATCTTCTATATTTATTCCACTCAATTTCTACTACTACTATCTTCTATATATATTCCACTCAATTTCTACTACTACTATCTTCTATATTTATTCCACTCATTTTCTACTACTACTATCTTCTATATTTATTCCACTCATTTTCTACTACTACTACTATCTTCTATATTTATTCCACTCATTTTCTAATACTATCTTACATAATGTCTTCTAGCCACCAGTACATTGTTAATGCTCATTTCAATGGGAGTGTTGTTGTATCAGATGAAGTCGGTTTGATCTTTGAAAACACTGACGTAAGTCGTTTCAGTGTTAATAAAAGATCGTCATTCCAACATTTTAAAGATAGGTTACAGATGAAGGTGAAAGATGGAACAATGTCACAGATTACGTACAAAAATATTGTCCATTTTGGGGACAATCACTTTAAATTTGTTCCACTAAAGGTTCGTGACGACGAGGATGTTGAAATGATGTTCTCGAACCATGAACGTTTCGGGTTTCAACACATTGAATTATATGTAACATTTGCACAATGTGAAGAAACTCAAATTTCTCAGGTCATCAATCCGTCCATAATTCCACACGAAGCAGTCGAAGAAGAAGACGGCGAAGAAGAAAACGAGGCACAGGTTGATGATTTATTTTCTACTTTGTTTGAGGAAGGGAACATTGTCAATGAAGTCAACAGAGATGAACAATACGTTCTAGTTGAGAATGTATTCACCCCACCGACACATATGACAACCCTGCCATTAAATGTAGAAACAACATCATTTGATTGGCCACAGACTCCTCATATTCCAATGGAGGGTGACATAGAAGTCGGTAACCAGTTTAAAAATAAAGCTAACTGTGTTGCTGCCATTAAGCAATATCACATGAAACACTGCGTGGATTATAAAGTGACAGATTCCGACAAGAAGAGATACATAATTTGTTACAAGAATGATTCCTGCAAGTTTCGTCTATTGGCGTCCTACCGTAAAAGAAGTGACTTGTGGGAGATAGGCATTATGAACCCACCTCATAGTTGCTCAACATTTTCTGTTAGCACTTAAAAAATTCGTTTCGGGCACTGTGCTGGAAATAGAAACCTTACCCATGTATACAACTGACGGAACTATTGTTGAAGGGAAACACATGACTACCAACCTTGTTGAGTCAATGAATGCTGTCTTTAAAGGCACACGTCATTTGCCTATTACAACATTGGTAAGGGCAACATACTATAGGCTGGGATCTTTATTTGCTGAACGGGGTTCAAAGTGGAGTGCTGTGTTGAATTCTGGCGAAACATTTACAGACAACTGCCTCAAGGTGATGAAAGAAGAAACAACAAAATCCAGCACACATCAAGTCAGAATTTTTGACTACGCTAACAATGTTTTCAGTGTGAAGGAGACAATGGACCATGGTGAGGGGAAGCCTATGGGACATTATAAGGTCGACCTCTTGAACGGATGGTGTGACTGCGGAAAGTTTCAAGCATTTCGTGTCCCTTGCTCACATGTTATCGCTGCATGTTCGAATCTGCGCCACGATGCTTACGCTCTTTTGTCTGACGTTTATAGGGTTACAAACCTGTTTGGGGTTTACAGCAATAGCTTTCTAGTGATGTCGTACGATGAATATTGGCCAGTTTATGAAGGAGATCAAATTTTCCATAACCCAAGAATGCAGAGGAACAAGAAAGGTTGCCCAATAAGCACACATATTACAACCGAAATGGATAACTTTGATAAGCTTGAGAGAAAATGTTCAATGTGTCGTCAAACGGGCCACAATCGAACCCGGTGTCCCAATGTGGGAACAAGTAATCATTAATGTTTTTATTAATCATCATGTATTAAATAATATTAGTTAATGTTATCAATTAATATAAATTATGTATTACAAAATATAAATTTATATTACACATTAATTGATTATATTAATATTAACATTATTGATAATATTAATAATAATAATAATGTAAATTAATATATATAATAATAATAATAATAATAATATATTAATTTTTATAATAATATATATATTAATTTTCAAGAATAAATAAATATTTATTTTAGTTTATTTATTGTATTTTTTTTATTATTATATATTTCATTTAATTTTTTATAAATAAATATTTATTGTAGTAATTTAATTTAATTAATACTATTTTTAAAATAATTATTTTTATTTTATTTTATTTTAATTTACTATAATTATCTATTTAATAATTATTAACTAAATTTAATAAACATAATAAATAAAAAATAATGTAATAAATATAATAAATATCTAAATATTATCTATTTATAAACATAATAAATGTAATAAATATTATCTATTTAAAAACAATGTTATAAACATAATAAATGTAACAAATAAAATTTAAAACAAAAAAATAAAATGAAAAAATTCATCATACACACTGCCGCCCAATGGATGGGCGGTTCCCTATTTCAGAAAGGCAGTGCCGCCCAATGCATGGGCGGTTACATTGTTCCAAAAATTGATTTTTTTTGAAAACATGACACTTTGATATTTATGTGTAAAAGTATGACATTTGAGGATTTATCTTCTAAAAAAAATTCTTAGATCTACGTTTTTTATCGCGTCCCAATGAATTTTTACCGTGAATCTAACACTTTTCCCACATTTTAATGGGTGAATGAATGAGCGATATGAACTTATGCTAGTATGTTAAAACATAATGACATGGCATGGGATGCACTACTATTTGTCTGGCCAAATGAGTTTACCAAAAAATAAATATATTAATTGCAATTCCCTGCAAACACAATGACCATGCAAACATTCTAATAAGACTTTTGGTTTGTTAGATTAAAATCGGACTGGATATAGTTTCAATAGAAGAATTTTAAAAGGTGAATAATCAACTATGAATTCAAGTTGAACCGTTTGATTTCAATCAGACGATCATATATGTTGTAACTGAGTAAATTCTTCATCTTTCCAAGTACAGACTATTCAATCTCATAATATTAAAAATTATATGTTTAAAAAAAATTAGTTTGAAAAAAATATACTATATTTTTCTAGAAATATATATTTCAGTAAATAAAATGAAAAACAACGAATAAAAACAAATTTTTTTTAAAAATACATATCAACTATCAACACTTCAAAAAAAATTTGTCCAAAATTACTTCACTGCCCTTTCTTTTAAAATTAATTACACTACATATTGGACAAAACAGTAAACAACTAAATAATAAAATTCATCTCTTTGATATCCCTCATCTCTTGCCATCTGTCAAGTGTGAATTGGATGCAGCCAAACTTTGCTTCCCTCCTCCCCACAAACATCTGAACATTGAGTTATCCATCAAACTTCTTATAATCACACGAAATTGCTCCCTCCTCCCCACAAACATCATCAAACTTATGCTAACATCAAAGATTTTTGGTTCGTTTCTTCACATTTTTTGGAGTTTTGCAAGTTGACATTGTTGTTTTACAAGTTGTTTTGGATCTGCTTCTGTTGTTTTCCAAGTTGATATTGTTGATATTCATACAAACTCTTCTGGTTCGTTTTATCGTATTTTTTGTTGTTTTGCTGCTTGACATTGTTGTTTTAACAGTTGTTTCTGGTTTGTTTCGGTTGGTGTTGTTTTGCAAGTTGATATTGCAAGTTGACATTATTGTTTTACATTGGTGTATATTGTTTATACTCATACATATATTCAAGTATCAACTCACAAATATGCATACATTGTAGGTTCTTTGGTTTACACTATAAAATATGTAGGTTGTTTTCATGAAAACATGTTTTTGTTAATATATTATTTTTACTTACACAGAAATAATTTAAGCAGTTGTGAAGTTGTAAGGTATATCCATTCACCTGAGGAATTTTTTTCTTTTATGTTTCTAAGCAACCATGTCAAGACCCCCAATACTCATCAAGGTCTTGGAGAAAGGGAAACAGGTTTGGAAAATGCTCATTAGAGTTGTTGATCTTTGGATTGTGAAGGAGAAAAGTGGACTGCAACATTTCGAAATGGTGATTCAAGATTCACAGGTAACCATTACCTGCTCTGTTTCTATATTATTATTGTCCATTTCCTTGAATGTTTACCCATTTTGTAGGGTGATCAAATCCATGTCACAACTCGGAACCGTGAGTTTAAAGACTGGTCTGAACATCTAACTGAACATGACACTTATTTCCTTTACAATGGAGAGCCAATGACTAATGATGGCACATTCAAAGTTTGCCCCAACAAGTTGAAACTTGTCTTCAATGGAGGAACGACTATTTCGAAATTGCCAATACCCGAAATACCGAAACACCAATTCAAGTTTAAGCCGATTGTCGACTTTCTCACTGTAAATTTCATCACTGATCTCTTATATGGTGAGATGTATTCATATTATACATATGTTGTATATTGATATTTGTCATACTAAATGGATATTGAATTAACTACATATGATACATATGAAAACATTGTCTCTTTTTCTCATTCTCATATATTACAGATGTCGTCGGGGTTTTACAAGATGTTGTGAAGACGCAAATGGGCGGTGGTGGTAAGAAATCATGTGCCAACATCACTCTAAGTGATAGAGCTAGAAATATTATTGAGGTTGCGTTATGGAATGATTACGGTAAACAGTTCATGAGCTATAACAGCTCCAACAAGTTTCCCGAACCAACATTCATTGTCTTAACACACGCATGGTGCAAGAAAAATCAAGGTAACAAAGTTACTGTAATACACATGCAAGAACTGATATTTTTGTTCTTCAAATAACTGACTCTGCATTTTGTAGGTATGCATTGCAGTGTGCTCTTTAGAAATTGATTAGTCTTGCAACCTTAAATGGAACTTGTCTCAAATTATAATGCTACCATCATTTAGTAGTAACATATGTAGCAGCATGTCCTTTGTTTTTTCCCACTAATGTATCATAAATCTTTCCCCTTTACCATTTTGACTTTTGTAATTCACCAATTATTTTAAAGATTTTTGTGTTCTTGAAACATTTGTCTGCTGCATTTTGTTGGTATCCATTGCAGCGTGCACTTTTGAAATGGATGACTCTTGCAAGCTTAGATGTATTAATAGGACATAACTAGATAACAAAGTGACAATGAACTTTTGTCAAATAATAATGCAACTTGTCCTTTCAAAATGATCTAATGTAAAACAAATTCAGCATGTCCATTTTTGTACCAGCATGTTCGGTTAGTAGTAATATTTAGTCTCAAGTTTTTACAAACAACATCATTATGTAATATGCATGCTATGTTTATCAATTCAATAACTTAATGTCTGAATTTTGTCAAGCAGCATATGAATTTCCTAGCCTATCTAATGCGTGGAATGGATCAAGACTCCATATCAACTTGGAGCATCCCCAAGTTCTCGATTTTAAAACCAAGTATGTTCCTACATTAAACAGTTAGATACTTGTCTAAAGTTTTGCTGAACTCGGTTTACTTTGATTTGATTCTTTATCTTTGTTTCTACATAAAATTTCCAGGCTAGGATCCACAGTTTCAGCTGCTGCACCAACTCATTCTATAACCCAGACTTCTGAATCCTTTGTGCAGTCTTGCAACAAAAGTTGGACAAACTCTAATGAGGTCAAGAGTATCCGTCACATTTGTGAAATCAGCAAGGTCAGCTTTTAAATTATCGTTACAACCTTAATTATTTCTTCAAATATCTACCAACTCTTTGTGATGTCAAACTAGGATTGTTTTGCCACAACCATTGGTACTGCCAAGAGATTTAAGGCATCAAAGCATGGCTGGTATTTTGAGGCTTGCCCCAGTTGTAAGACATCAAACAAGTCCACTGGCACCAAATTCATATGTGTTTGTGGAGTCAAAGATGTTGAACCTGTGACAAAGTAATTTTTCTATATCGGTTTTATACCTTCAATTATAACTTTGCATCCTGTTTTACATACTTGAACCGCTTTTGTTTTCATGGCATAGATACAAAATCGAGGTAGAAGTCGAGTTTGATAATCATGTTGGATGCTTTGTGTTTTGGGATAAAGATGTTATTTCATATGTTACTATAACTGCTAGGGAACTGAGACAAGTAATGAAGGAGGTAAATACATTATTCATTTGATTACTATGTTTCTCTTATTCATGGTTTTACTCACCAACTTTAAATTTCTGATGTGATTATTCATCAAGGCTGGAGAGGATAAATCAAAAGTTTATCCCATACACCTAGACAAACTTTTGGATCAATAATTTGTATTTAGAATCAAATATCAATCTTTTTTCAATCAATTCTCAATTGTTACTATCCTAAACGATCCCGGTGTTTACAAAACATTATCTGAAGCCCTTATACCGGATGAGGTACAATTTGGTTGTGGAAATGAACTCATAATGCGTAAACTTTCAAATTTATCATGTTTTGAACATAACTGACTGGTTTCAATTTGTGGTCTTATGTTTTGGCAGCATACATCTAAGTCTGCCTTTTTGAAAACTGATACAGAGCATGCTATGGATATGGAACTTGAACCAATTGTATGTCTTCTTTCTTAACATGTTGCAAAACTTCCAATATACTATTGTGTACTACAGGCATAAGATATTGACCAATTAGTTTTGTTTTGTCTAGCCAACAAAATCTTCTGGCCAACACTACAACATACATCCAAAAAATTTTGCCACCCAAACTTGCAGTCCATCCACTTGCTCTAGCAACACACCGGCTAAGAGGGCTGCCATTCCTACTTTCCTGATGATTTTTTGCAAGATGATGTCCTGATTCCAAAGAATTCAGCAACCAAGGTGAAGCACCTCAAGAAGGAGTGGCTCTTTAGTGAGTACCTCA